ATTAATTCTAATTCATGTGAAACGACAATCGATAGTAATCTTAGGATTTTAAAACCTTTTGATGAATTCTGTCAACACTTCACTCTAAATTCAGTCATTTGATTGAAAGGCAAAGTTATTTTTAAAAACTTTTTTGTTTTTAATATTTAAAGATAATACAAACAGAAGCATACTTCCGTTGATTTTAAATTGTACCCAGACAAATGCTGAATATTACTAATTAACTACATATTTTATAATTAAACAAATTAATCTTATTTTTGGTATTAAATTAATGTAAGCATTGAAAATATAAAATATTCATAAACCTTACAGTAGTTTCAATTAGAAAACTATAATTTTCGTGTATTACTGTATATGATTCTTTATTTAATTTACTTATTTAACATATACAGGGCATATTATAAATAAATCGATAATTAAATGATGACTTGTATAGTATGAAATTCATACTATGAATAGTGCTTATTTTGAATTAATTTTAAAGAAACAAACTTTCAAATACAAAATCTTAATATCAAGATGTTGTTATAAAATCATTAAATAAGTGCACTGTTTGTTTGCTTTCAAATGCAAACTTAAAATAATATTTACATTAAATATCTTAATATATTCTTTAAAATCTGTTTATTCAAATATCATAAGATTTAGTTGCATAACACATTGCAAATGAATAAGTACTACACAGTTTTGGTAACAATTTATTATACAGTATAATTTTATAATTTTATATAGAGTAATTCTTTATTAATTTTGATTACATTATTATTATAATAATAGTTAACAGATAACAAGTTAAAGAATTTTGCACCCATTTCAAGAATATTGACAAATATTATGTATTTTTCATTTTTAGGTACATTTTTCACTCGGGTATGTATGTCGATGCCATTCACCGCACCACTGTCACTATCATAACACCATTACCTCCCACCACCTCATATTCTCATACATTATCATAACACATAACTTGAATGTCATGAACCACGCGATTCTCACAAATACATCATTTTGTTTAAATGAATTACTTATGAGAAGTGTATTAATAGATTAGTTAAGACTAAATTAGACAACACCGAACATGTCTATGCATTCAATCATTACTTAAAACTTTCAAATTCTAAAATTTTTTCTTTATGTATTGATTAGCTAACACTTACAATAAGTCTGTTAAGCATTTAAGAATACTCAACACATTAGGCTTATCGAATATACCATAAGATTTGAGTGCCTTATAATATGTTAGTTTTGAACCTTAAAAACAATCTCATAAATAGTACGCTAAGGACATGTGCACGAAATTATCGCTGAAAGGATGGATACGTGTGTCTCCCAGGGGTACGATCTATGGCCAGATTCAGGGCGAGAAAAGTAACGTGGATGAGATGTATGACTATCTGTATCGGTTGGACACTAATGACCACTAATGCAATATTGTTGTCAATGTAGGGCACTATGGCTGCGACTACAGGGCAGTCCCGGAGCCCGTATTGAGTCGTGTCAGTTCAAGAACTGGAAGGTCATCGACAGCTGTGACTTCAGAAACTTTTCGGTCAGATATTGAAAGGCTCCACAACTACAACACAATAGTTTCGTCGGTTATCTAAAACACTCCGTTCAGTACTATTGATGTCAACCCTTAATCTCACACTTTATTATCAGATTATTATTCCTTAAATGTTGTCTTATTTATAAATCTATGCATTTATTATTCTTAAAAATATATGTATTTTTATTAGAAGTATATTCTATATTGAAATATGTGTTCAAATTCTATAAATGTTTAATAATTTTAAATATTATAATTATTGATATATTAATGTTATTCTGATTAATATATACTTAATTCGTGACTATTAAATCTATGTTAAATCCATTGTATATTACATGCTCTGGAAAAAATAAATGTCTTTTTTAACAGAATTAAGTGAATAGTGAAAGCATAGCTTAAAATTATGTTTGAATATAGAGTTTATTTCAATAGATAAATATGAAATATAAATTTTACATAAAATTCTACATAATGTTTTATAAATTTTTTAAATATTTAATTGCCAAAAATTGAAAAATGAGATTATTTTGGAGTTTAAAATATCAATCATAAGTTATAAAAGAGTCATTAATTTCTGAATTATTTTCAATTACAAAGCTTTAATTCATATTAAGCGTTGATAACACAGTCATATCAAGGGGTCATTTATTTGCATGGATTCTGTCGGTACCCGATATGAAAACCTCTGGCATTTTTGGCGTTATTCGACACAAACCTAATCTGAAAGGGCCCGGGAGTTGTGTCGGTCATGACTGTCCGGTGCACTGAACTCGCGTTACCAAAAGCGTTCTCCTGGCGATTGGTCAGCTTCAGGAGTCCATTATCAGCCAACTCTGTGTTCTCGACATTGAGTTTCCCGACACCCGAACACAACCGCATACCTCCTATCACTATGAAGTCGTCCCTACACTCGGCCACCACTGGCCACTGGGCAGAGAACCCGGCGATATGTTCAGCTCCCGACCCGATGGCAAAGGGTAGGGTTCCGTCGGCATCGCTGGACAGTTCGTATGTGATTGAGCAGAAACCCGGCTCTTTCCGGATGCACATCATGTAATCGACATCATTGGGATAGCCTTCGTTCCTATCGGAGCTTAACTCGTCCTCAGAGTAGTCGTAGTTAAAGCTTTTGATCACTCCATGGGTTCCCGAATAGTATTGCAGACAATGTGGTGGGGCTGTCGTCATGTCGTCAAACAGATATCGTATCAAATAAATCATTTAATTATTTATTAATACAATTATCTCTGTAATAGTTTTATTCAACTAAGAGCTCAACTGAACTATTGATGGATTGTTTGGTTATAAATATTTTTATAATTGAATAGATATTTAATGTGAGAACGAAATGAACACTTAATTTGATTATAAAAATAAGATAACACTCCGTATATTATAATAAACAGATTTATCACTTAAGAAATCAATATAAATCTAAACCTGAATTCTCCGATTGACAGGGAATTTGAGTGATCAGTACATCAAAGCGCCGCCGGTATGAGCCCAACATCATTAGGTGCAGACTCACCACTCCTGACTCGTCAACACCGATATAGTCTGCCATTCATTATAAGACAAACTTTATATTAGTTTTGAATTTCAAAGCAAACATCAATTTGGTCAATTCAGTATAATATAAAGTATTTTATATATTTTAATTAATACAGAAATTAATGTTGAAACGTAAAAATGATTTAATGCTTACAGTGCTGTCCATTATTAAGACCACAAATCTTAGGTATGATATGATTTTCATTTTGACCGGAAATGGTGAATATGTCTTGAGAACAGTTACCCTCCAAAGGTTTTCCGATATCAAAGGTTCTGAAATCGAGTCTAAACTGACAAATATTGGGCGAAATTTTGCCGATTTTTGTGCGACAGATGCGGGACCTGTCGTACGCCTCGGGATAACCAGGATTTCGGAAATATATGAACTTTTCGGCCGCAGTTTCGCCGCACGAGACATCAAATAGACAGCAAACGGCACCTGAGTTTTTACCGGCGCCTGAATACGAGTCACTGCACCGACCCATCGGCATACCACCCCTCCTCACACACTCGGATGCCTCATAACACGTACCCTTTCTAGCATCGGGTGCCGTACAGACGTTATCATCGCTTCGATCACTATCTATAGGGTTATTAGCAGTCAATGGGTTTGTGTCGGAAACGTAAACCCCTTCCGGTCTGTTGGCGGTAACGGATGCAGAGCTGGGGTTGAAGTAATAGGTGGCCGCCACTAATGGACTCTTCCCTGAGTTGCCGCTCGAAAACATCCCACCTTTCAAACAATCACTCAATTATTCAAAGTTTATTAACACTTATATATATAAATATATTATTTATCTCTATATATATCTCTTCAAAATGACAATAGAAATGAATTATTTAATGATAATATTCAATCAACCAAAGCTTATTTTCAGTGAGAGTGTAAATTATATTATAAAAACAAAATATCATTTTAACAACATTTTACTAACATAAGAAACTAGCAACTTATCAAAAGTCTATATAAACTGATTGGTTTGAGAGAAAATAATACTTTGTAGAAAACAATTTTATATAGATGTTTTGAGATTTTAAAAAATCTATTATATAATAACCTTCTAATTCACAAGTTGACTATCACTCTTTATAAAACTTTGCATTTAGTTAATGAGACTTAAATTAAAATAATTTAGTAAATGTTATGAAAGGCATACCATAGGGAACGAGTGGAGGTCCCGATCCATCAACAGCTCTCTCTAAGAAGCCGCGGGCACTGCACTGTATATATCGAACCCAGCTCTGCATCCGTTACCGCCACTAATGGACTCTTCCCTGAGTTGCCGCTCGAAAACATCCCACCTTTCAAACAATCACTCAATTATTCAAAGTTTATTAACACTTATATATATATATATATATATATATATATATACTAGATATAGTTCATATCTCTATATATATCTCTTCAAAATGACAATAGAAATGAATTATTTAATGATAATATTCAATCAACCGAAGCTTATTTTCAGTGAGAGTGTAAATTATATTATAAAAACAAAATATCATTTTAACAACATTTTACTAGCATAAGAAACTAGCAACTTATTAAAAGTCTATATAAACTGATTGGTTTGAGAGAAAATAATGCTTTGTAGAAAACAATTTTATACAGATGTTTTGAGATTTAAAAAAATCTATTATATAATAAACTTCTAATTCACAAGTTGACTATCACTCTTTATAAAACTTTGCATTTAATTAATGAGACTTAAATTAAAATAATTTAGTAAATGTTATGAAAGGCATACCATAGGGAACGAGTGGAGGTCCCGATCCATCAACAGCTCTCTCTAAGAAGCCGCGGGCACTGCACTGTATATATCGATCACAAATTATCAGTATGTATACAATTGCACCGGTTATTGGTTTCTTGATAAACATTTTAATATTTAATATAATTTATACATATATTTAAATAGAAACTATATATCAATAAATGAAAAATAAAGCCCTTATTCAGAGCCAGAAATCTCGCAAACGATTGAATTAATGAATAAAAAGAGTGATACAGATAGACGATACTTTATATAGTGCCAAAATCAATAAAAATATTAAACTTTTAAAACAATAGACAGTTTAGCGAACATTCACTTTTCTGAATACAGGGGCAAAACACTGGACTTCCTATCACTGGAATCAGAGGATCCAATCATTCGGTTTGGCTCATCAGTTCGTTTGAGATACCTTTCCAATAGGTTGACCCTTTGCTACAACATATGCATGGATAAGGGCGCTGTTATATATGGCTTATATTGAATGACAATTGTTTGGTAAGATGAATGTGACTGAACTTTTATGGGGCAGCCGGTGAACAGTGGTGTCTAAGTGGCGGACTAAATATTTTACTCAATTAAACATAGATTTTATCTTAAAATAGAAATTTTAATGTTAATACTTTTAGTTTTTATTAATAATAAAATATATTTCAACAGTTAATTCCGCCACTGATTCACTAACTGATCGATGGCTTTACTACTGTAGGCCTTACAGAATGTAGCGGTCTGTTATGTCCCGGTTTTGGTACAATTGTTTGCAATACAGGATGCAATACCTGTCCAATAGACGAGAGAGAGAGAGAGAGAGAGAGAGAGAGAGAGAGAGAAGAGCGATTCTCTCCCAATGAATTAATACATTTTGAATGATACACAAAACTCAGGAAAAATTATTTGTATTAATATTTGACATTTCAAGCAATTAATATCGTATTTGAAATAATATATTCATTGAATACAAAGCGTATGGAAATAGTATTGTATTTAAACAAGTGATGCGTTGAAACTATTTGTAGTAATTTTTATTAATATTATTACAATAGTTAACAATTGATTGAATGAATAAAAATTTTTATTTAAAATTTAAAAAATAGAATCCAATAAGTCATTTATCATAAAAATTATGAATAAAAGTTAATTTCAGGGATTACAAGTCAAACGATAACTTATTAATTTATGCCATCTGATAAGTTTTTTAATGATTAGTCTAATATTGGCTATTAAAATATTTTAAATTGTATCTGTAATACAAACTCAAATAAATACGAAAATATTTGAATTATTAAAATAAATTTTTTGTCAAATAGTTTCTCAAATCTATTTGGTTTATTTTACAAATGATTTATAGTATGATAAAATTTGTTCGTAAGTAGAAGCTAGTAACTAAATTATGTTTTAAAAATATATTCAGTTTAATCTACAATGAAATTCAAGAAAATATATAATTCATTAATTTTTTGTAATATAATTTGTAAACATAGTACAGTACTATTTATATACTGTTATCATTACTGATATGATAACATTTTATATGATTTAATAGCTAGCATAATTAAATATAATTTACAAGAAATATATAAAATTTGTTTTATTTGCTTTTCTAATATCAAATATTTAGTTTGTATTTCATTAGACAATAAGATTTTATAAATGGTTTTAAAATTTGTCTTTTTTCTCTTTACTCTATCAAAACAATTCATTAATTCAATTGTTTCTCACAATTAGAGATTGTATTAAATGTGAACAAATAAAAACATTTAGTTGACTGCAATACATATAACAGACAAATATTTGAAGTCATGTCTTAATTAGAACTCATTTATTACATGTAAGTATAGCATAATTTGTGGACACAATATCAAAAGGCAAATAAAAATTAAATATCATAATATTTTTGTTTTCAAATTCATTGCAATTATAGAATGAACTTTTGATAAATTATACAAACTATTTCAATGAGAAAATATATCTAATTATTTTCTAAATACTGTATTAGGACTCATATGTAATAATACTAACCATTTATTCTTATTTTTATATATCATTTCATTTTATCAGATGCAAGAGAAAAGATTGAATACTAACTGCTATTTCGTACGATTATTTGAAAACTGAATATTTCTTTCTATAAGTAAAAACCAAGAAATATATTTTTCAAAATAAAAAGTTTTTTCTATAAATGAATTTTTAAATGAATAACTAATTGAGTGATTAATCATTTTAAATAATATTTAGAAGTAAGTTAGAGATCGAGATAAAGTGAAATCTCTCTCTCTCTCTCTCTCTCTCTCTTTCTTTCTTTCTTTTAACATATTTTGTAAAATAGTATTGAATTACATATTGAGGCACTAAGATTTAACTTTAGTTCACAAAAATATTTTATATTTTAAGTTAAATATGAATTTTAATAAAGAAACTGATTTTGTATGAAATTATTTTGTTAATTTATTTTTATTTAATTTCATTATTATTCTTACAGTATCATATACATGTATTTACTGTACTTACTTACAGTATACCTTTTATGCTTACTTATATTAATCTTTCATTATAGTAAATTAAATTGCAAATTAGCATTGCAAAAATAAATTACTAAATACAGCATTATAAGTTACAGTATCAAAAGTGTTTTACAATTTCTAATAAGAAACCGATACGATAGTAATACAATACTTGCGATAAAGTGCCCGGAATCAGTTATGAAGTCGAGCGTATAAATTGACTCAACTTAGAAAACTGAATATTTCTTTCTATAAGTAAAAACCAAGAAATATATTTTTCAAAATAAAAAGTTTTTTCTATAAATGAATTTTTAAATGAATAACTAATTGAGTGATTAATCATTTTAAATAATATTTGGAAGTAAGTTAGAGATCGAGATAAAGTGAAATCTCTCTCTCTCTCTCTCTCTTTCTTTCTTTCTTTCTTTCTTTTAACATATTTTGTAAAACAGTATTGAATTACATATTGAGGCACTAAGATTTAACTTTAGTTCACAAAAATATTTTATATTTTAAGTTAAATATGAATTTTAATAAAGAAACTGATTTTTTTTGTTAATTTATTTTTATTTAATTTCATTATTATTCTTACAGTACCATATATTTACTGTACTTACTTACTATAGTATACCTTTTATGCTTACTTATATTAATCTTTCATTATAGTCAATTAAATTGCAAATTAACATTGCAAAAATAAATTAAGAAATACATTTAATATTCAATGTCATAGTTTTCACAAAATGTTAAAGATTATTCTTTGGCTATGCTATCATTATGTTATGAACGCTATTTCACGGGCCTTAGTCAATACTTCAGCTCGCATATTTAACTGAGTTGAATACGGCTAATTACACCGGTTAGAGAGCATAGGCAGGTATACACAGATATACTCATCAACTGTTAAAAGCTTAACAATCCGTGAGAAAAACTTTCATATTATAGTTAAAGCATATAATGAATGAGTTCTTTATTTAAATAATTTCTCAAGTTTGTGTCATTTTCCAAAGATTTGTCAGTATTTGTCAATAACTCAGAATAGGAATATTAAAATTAATTTAATAAATTTTACTAATAAAATTAAACTATACGTTTAAATAAATGTTATAAATATTACGTTAAGGTGCTCTCTCTCTCTCTCTCTCTCTAATAGCCGGGAGAGTGTGGGTCTCATTGAGCACAGAGAGAGAGAGACACGACATTGAAGGACAGAGAGAGATGTTTGAGAGAGTGGGGGATCTCCTCATTCACTCGAACACAGATAAAAGCCTAACCAATGAGGCAATGGGACGGGTCTTTAAAATTGTTTGATGACAACTGTACCTAAAAATTGGTTTCTATTTGTATGCGATCTCTTGCACTCTAGTAAAACATCTTCTGACCACGACTTTCATACTATTTTAAAGTTTTTTTTTGCAATTTTTCAATTTATTTATATAATATTTTGTAACAAATGAATTATAACATGAATTCATTTGCATTTCAATGCAATCGGTTCGCAAGCTTTACGACAAATCCATACTTTAATCAGAATTTTATACCCAATTCTGTTATGAATGCAAATGTAAGCCAATGTTTTCAATGTCCGGATCGGCCTTTTGTTCGCACATTAATCGCTCCAAATATGGTCAACGAGTGTCATATGCAGAGCACATGCACTCCTAGACAACTGGTGGCCACCATTCCATCGGCTCCTATCACCACATCCTCATCAGTCAAACATTCCTCTGCATTTACCATCGATGCCATACTCGACACTAATAATAAGATCAACATCAAGAATAATAAACATATAAACAGTGAGAACTCTTCGACACATTCATCGCAGTCTATTCATCAGACCATTGATGTGATCGGAGACGTGAATAAGAGTTTC